GTATCGCGTACTGCTCGTCCCCGTTATCGTAGTAGAGAGAGAAACCGACATAACCCGAATTCGAGGCACCGCGTTAGTTCACGCTCTCGGGGAAGAAGCCTCAGTCGTCAGGGATATTGTTACTACCACAGTAAGTTTGGATCAGCTGCTTGGAAATGTCGTTCGCCGTGTTCCTTTAATCGAACTGCTGATCAGGGAAACGAGAGCAGCCAGCCGCAGTAACGGCCTGTGGGTCCAGTCTGGCTCCTAAATATAGCCGTTTGTTTGTGTATGACAACAAAACTGGCCTAAATTTCTTAATTGATTCTGGAGCAGATTTATTGATCATTCCCAACCATACTAAGAATCAACCTACAAAGGTTGAATTGTATGCTGCCAATGACTCTAAAATCTTGATGTATGGAACAAAAGTGTTAGATCTTGACCTCAACTTAAGACGTTCTTTCAGATGAGAATTCACCATAACTGATGTGCAGAAGCCTATAATCGGTGCAGGCTTTTTGGCCAACTTTGGACTCATTCTCGACATCAGAAACAGATTACTGGTTGACCCCTGACTTCCCTTACTACACGAGGAAAATATTATACAGGACCACCTACTTCAGTCAAAACTATAATAGCAATTCCGCAATGCAGGATATCCTCAAGGACTTTCCACATCTCACTTGTCCCCGGCCTTTTTCAGACAAGGTCAGGCACAACACAGTGCATTATATCAAGACACACAGTCCACCTGTATTTGCTAAACCTTGTAGATTGCACCCAGCTCAACTGCAAGTAGCAAAGCAAGAATTCCAGTACATGATGGAGCTAGGTATATGCAGACCATCAAAATCCAACTGGGCTTCTCTCCTTCATATGTTGCCTAAAGGCCATAATGATTGGAGACCTACTGGAGACTATTATACCCTGAATAGGATAACTGTTCCTGATCACTATCCAGTGCCACACAGCCATGATTTTGGTCAAAATTTATACGGAGCCCGAGTATTTTCCAAGATCAATTTGGTTACAGCCTTCCATCATATACCAGTTAACCCAGATGATGTGCCAAAGACAGCCATTACAATGCCATTTGGGCTATTTGAATTTGTTTTTCTTCCTTTTGGTGTCTGCAACGCAGCCCAATCATTCCAATGATTCATGCTTGAAGTTCTAAGTCCTAAACTTCAGTTTTTCATACCTAGATGACATCCTCATCACTAGCAACTCATGGGAGGAACATAAGATGCACATGCGGCAAGTGTTTCAACACCTAGACAAGTACTGTCTGCAGGTCAATTCATCCAAGTGTACTTTTGCTGCCCCACATGTATCATTCTTAGGATACATGGTGTCTCCTCACAGCATTATGCCACTCCCAGAACATGTATCTGCCATAACTCAATAGAAGCGACCACAGACCCCAAACAACTGAGAAGGTTCTTAGCCATCTTGAACTTTATTATAGGTTCTACCCCATGCAGCCCATTACCAAGTTCCTTTACATGATCTACTTAAAGGAACAAAGAAAAACTACCGACGTGAAATTAAATGGACTGACAATTCAATTCAGGCATTTGAGTCATGTAAATCACAATTAGCAGAAGCCACCTTACTTCATCATCCTTCTCCAAGTGCTACCCTTGCACTGCATATTGATGCATCTGGTTCTGCTGTGGGTGCTGTCCTTCATCAAGTAACAGCACAAGGTTTCTAGCCACTGGCTTTCTTTTCTCGCAAGCTGAGTAACTCTCAGCATCAGTATTCTGCATATGACTGAGAACTTCTGGCTGTGTATTTGGCTGTGAAACATTTTTGGTTTATGCTGGAAGCACAACAGTTCACCATTTACACAGATCATAAATCATTAACATTTGCCTTCCACCAATGACACAATAAGTGTACACTCCGTCAGTTGAGACATCTCAACTCTATAGGACAATTTTCAATGAACATCAGACACATAAAAGGGATTGATAATGTTCCAGCTGATGCTCTCTCCTATATTGAGCCAATTAGTAGCCCATCTATAGATTATAGCAAGATTGCAAAAGACCAACAGCAAGATCCTGAACTCCAGTCTCTCCTGACTTCAAGTGACTCATCACTTGTACTTAAGAAGTTTAAACTTCCTGACAATGATGTCGAAATTTACTGTGATGCATCGACAGGTCACATTTGTCCATACATTCCGCCTAATTATTGTTGCACTGTCTTCGACACTGTCCATAAACTCTCCCATCCAGGTGTAAGGAGCTCGACCAGATTAGTAAAAGCAAAATTTGTTAGACCATCCATTAGTAAAGACTGCCAGACATGGTCTCGACCTGCATTTCCTGTCAGCAGTTGAAGATCCAGAGACATGTCACTAGCCCTTTAGGAACCTTTTCTATTCCACATGCTAGATTTTTAAATATTTATATTGATATTGTTGGTCCATTGCCACCTTCCAACGACTCAACATATTGCCTCACAGTCGTCAATAGATTTTCTTGTTGGTCTGAAGCAGTCTCATTACCAGATATAGCGGCTGAAACAGTGACTTCAGCTCTATATTCAGATTGATTATCTCGCTTTGGAATGCCTGTCCAAATAACATCTGACCAAGGGTGGCAATTCAAATTCTAGCCTATTCAAATCCCTCACTCAACTTCTTGGTGCCAAAAGAGTTAGGAGAACAGCATACCACCCAATTGCAAATGGCATTGTTGAACGCTTTCATCATTCACTTAAAACTACCATCAAGTGTCACTCTACTGAAAGATGGATGGAAGTGCTACCTACAGTCTTGTTAGGATTGTGAACTGCGCTTCATGAAGACACCAGCACTACTGCAGCTGAGATGCTCTACAGCACCAGCCTCAGACTGCCTGGAGAATTTTTTGTCCCAGGTCCACAGGACATCAATCCATGTTCCTTTGTTGAAAATCTCAGGACGATGATGGCAAACTTAAAACCAGTGCCTGTGGTGCACTACTATTGCAACCCATTTATCCACAAAGAACTGTGGTCATGTTCCCACATATTTCTCTGCAATGATGCTGTATGGAAACCTTTACAGCCTCCATGCAATGGACTCTACGAAGTCGTGTCACATGGTGGCAAAACATTCACACTATGCATAAAAAGAAAAGAGACTCGTTTTCATTGATCGAATAAAACCGGCTTTTATTCTTGCAGCAAGCAAGTCAGACCAGTTACCCCCAATGTCTCCAATGCCAAGCCCAGCTAAGATTAAACATGCTACAGACAATCAAACCCCAACCCAACAAACTATCACATGCTCTGGCCAACATGTATCTTTTCCCACTTCATGTCGCAGGGGAGTAGCTGTTTCCCACTTGTTTCACTGTGGGGAGTAGCTGTGGCCGCCAGTGCCAGAGATTGTGAACACAGTCTTTCAACACTTCTAATGAGTTGTTGCCTGGCAACAGATATAAAAAGAAAAAAGGCACGAAAGTTCATTGAGTTGCCCAGGTGTAGCCTGAGGATGTAGATGACAACTCTGATCTTATTTTAATAAAGTTCTTTTGTTATTGTTTGTGTGTGCCTGCTCAGTATTGGTATTTTAAGGATCAGTAGGATTGATGACAAACAGTAATACCTCAGTTTTTGCTGACTTCGGTTATTGTTGGTTTTTGTCAATTTTTTTTTTTCTTTCTTTTTGTGAAAAATTTGTCTTGGTTTTTGTCAGTTGCCTCGGATTTTGTTGGCATGCCCACATGACATCGCTGCTAATTTTGTGAAAACCAAGGGTGATGCATGCGTTTTCCTTCTTAGTGTGGTGGTGTTTCTTGTTATGTGAGCATTACTCCGCATGCTTTCCTTTCCTTTTATCTCCATCATGGGAACAAGAAAGTTTCCAGAGCCAGCAGCCCTTCGAAGAAGAATGCCAGAAACATGATCGAGTTGAAGAAGGAAATAATTGAAAAATACGAGAGCAGCATTAAGACTGCTGAAATCGGCTGCATGTACAGAAGTTGACATATGAAAAGTTCCATCATCGCAATAAAGGAGGCTAATGTAGTGAAAGGCGTAAATGTGACGACAAAACAGAGATTTGCAAACAATTGAAGATGTCAAACAGATGCCATGTTAAATGTTCATTTATTCTTTACATTAGTATTTTATATTTCTTTTATATTAATTTCTTTTTGTTTTTAGTATTAAACACTACATTTATTTTTTATGAAATGTGTTTTTATGTATTTTGGAGTGTCTACAACGAATTAATTGGATTTACATTGATTCATATAGAAATAATTTCCTCGGTTTTCGTTGGTTTCGGATGGATTATTGACGAAAACCGAGGTATCACTGTGTAATTTATTGTGTGTGTATAATATGATTGTAGAAAGTCTATTTTTGCATTTGTGTTTCAAAATTAAATATATTTTTTCTTATTTTTATGTAGGTGCGTGTTGAAGGCTATGACTATGTAGGTGTGGGCAATTCTACAAATAAAAAAGATGCTCAAACTAATGCTGCCAGAGATTTCTTATTATATCTGGTGCGAATAGGAAAACTCACTAAAGATGAAGTACCTGTAGAAATACCTGTAAGTATAAGTAAATTATATTTTTTTGAAATTTTTATACAGAAAATTCTGATATGTTTTTTTTCTTGGCTATGTTAATATATTTATAATTTCAGTAAGTTGCAGTATGGTTTATTATATTATCATTAATATAAAAACAAAATTATTTTATTAGAGCTAAGAAATTCACCTGGCTTGCCTAGTGTTTTTTTGATTAAAATATTCTTTCTTCAATAAGGATTAAACATCTTGAAAATAGATTTGAAACTGTATTGAAATACAGTTCAACTGAAAATCTTATTGGAACAACTTCTTTACAACAGGATTTGTTTAGTGTTAAATCTGGACTTCTGTTGTGAATCAAAATGAATGAATAGTCAAGGAAAACACCAACAATGTGATCTCTATTTACAAGAATTTGCTTGAGACGAAATCAATATTATGTATTCGCTTGTGCCAGTAAATATAGGTGGCGTATGAGTCGACCAAAATGGCTGCCACAAAGAGTATAGCGTGCGTGGCAACATACGAGAGTTACATGTGTGTTGTCTTTTTAATGTATTTTCTCTCTGTAGTCAAAACGTTTTATTCGCATTTATGTCTGACATTAATCCTAGTTGATTTCGTAGTTGTTTGTCATGATGATTACATCTTATGATATTTTAGAATATGTGGGTGATCGGAAAAGAGGCCTTATAAGGAGAGGAAATGCTAAAGAAGGGATATTTTTTGTATATCTTGGTTAATTTTTATGTTGTGGATGGCAAATCCTGTGCAAAGAAATATTAGGGCCTTGAAGAGGGCATGGGTGATTATATGAAAATAGGCTAACTTTCATACGTTTAAGGATAAGGCTAATATTATAATTAAAACTGATAACTTCATATCTATCCACCTCTTAGCAACTAACTCACTTCAGTTTCACCAACATCTAATTTTGCTGTGCTTAAAATTCTTTTATTTTTACAAACGTTTTTAACCTATCTAATATAGACCATCGTCAGGTTTAATATTATAAATGTTCCAAAATGGAACGTACCGTTTTTGAATATTTTACATATTTAAAATTCAAAAAAGTAATTTAACTTCAAAATAAATTGAAAGAAGTGTGTATATTAAATAAAATAAAATATAGAAAACAAAGCTAACTAGAAAGAAACATGATTTAAGGGTTTTTAAGTCCCATTATTTTTTCTGTTATATATTTTCATTTTAATACCCCAGCTTTTTCTTCTTTTTTTTTTATGCTATCTTTATCGTTCTGTAGCAAGCTATAGATATTGGGTGCTCTTTTTCTTATAGACCATTCTCGAGTTTTTATAAAAGAGCACCCAAAACCATGTTTCTTTCTAGTTAGCTTTGTTTTCTATATTTTATTTGTTTATTTACTTTTTGAATTTTTCCGTCGATGGCTGGATTATGGTAAAATAAATCACTGTCCAAAAGGGATCACCATTTATTTTGCATTTCAGACTACACATACACATTAATGGCGACAGGTCTTCCTTTTTTTGGGCTTCATGCCGCCAAAGGTAAAAAAAGTCCTTTAAAAAACGCAAACATCCAATTAAAAGTAAAAAGAATCGGTGACACACAGACGTCTTACTTCAATGGTGATCCCCCTTAGACAGACTTGTCTTTGATTTATTTTATTTACTTTTTATTTATTTATTTAATATACACACTTCTTTCAATTTATTTTAAAGTTAAATTATTTTTTTGAATTTTAAATATGTAAAATATTCAAAAACGGTACGTTCCATTTTGGAACATTTATAATATTAAACCTGACGATTGCCTATATTAGATAGAGTGAAAACATTTGTAAAAATAAAAGAATTTTAAGCTCAGCAAAATTAGGTGTTGGTGAAACTGAAGTGATAACTTCAGTTTTATTTCCCACTTTTTTCGATGTAATTTATTTTTTGCGAATGTGCTCATATGTACTGAGTTTGATGAACCTTTAGACTTGCATCTAAATTCACAACAATACTTATTATTTACCATTGTAGCTTGAACACTTTCTAATTCTAACAGACCACAGACTTTACTGCAGTCAGACTTTATACTCTTAGCAGCCGCCATTACGTAGTTTGCGTTAATACTGCTAGATGTCAGATCTATCGTTGGCACAAGCGAATTATCTGTTATAATCTGTTTTCCTTTATCTTTCTCCCACTTACAAGATGAAATATTTGATACAATGAGTATTGAGATTGATAATTACAAGAAAAAAATATTCTAATTAGATGTATGATGATGCTGAAATTCCCATATGCTTTTATTAGATGGATTATAAGTTCTGGTCTCCATTTTCTTTGTTTCATTCCCATTGTCTCGTTTACAGTATAGTAAAGTTACTACCCCCAGTTAATCATCTCCTGCATTTCTATTGGTGATCATAGTTTTATTAATTAATAATTGTTTGTCTATTTCTTTGTAGCTTTTCATAGTAAACAAGACGATGTCTGCTACTTTCTTATAGCTTAGTTTTGAATATTCAAACAATAAAAAATATGCCTAAATGTAGACTGCACCACTTGCATAAATACATTTGAAATTTTTCCAGAACTTTTGGCATACTAGGCACACTAAAAATATTTCTTAAAATATTTTTCAGTTATCCCTAGCAAAATTATTTTTGTTCATGGATTTGACAAACACAATAAACATCAAAGAAAAGAAAACATTCATTGCTATAAACAGAACTGAATACCTTAATAGTAAATTATTATATTTTAAACAAATGTTTCAAATTCTTTATCTATGTTGGGATATCTTTAACTTGTAATCTTATGTTAATTTGTTAAATAGGTTGAAAACATGTTTAAAATACAGTCATTCACAAATATAAACATTGGTTAACCTGATTTTTAGATTAATGCCAAATGATTGCTGGATTATATCTGGCTATATTAGTGCTGCTATTAATAATTAAATATCAAGTAATTTGGTCTAGAGATAGGCATTAGATGCCATTTCTTGATAAATTTAATAATTAATTTAGAAGATTCTAGAAGAAAAGAATTAGCCTGAAGCAAGACTCAAACCCACAACTCCCACTTGCCATGCAGACATGTTGCCAGTTATGCTACCTGGACATTTCAGCTGCTCTTTGCTTCCAGAACTGTTAATTTAGTTATAACCATACTGATTACTCATAGTGCTGACTGGGGAGACTTCAATGCTCACAGCTTGTAACTGTACCTTTCTGAGGTAAAACGATAACTGGCCAAGTAACATGGTGGAAGTTATAGGCACTGAAGTTGTTCCCAGTTGGTGCCATGAGTAACTAGTATGGTTAAATGCAAATTAATAGTTTTTGAACTGAAGATTGGTCAGATGTCTGGATAGTGTAACTGACAACACATATGCATGGCAAGCAGGAGTTTGGGTTTAAGTCTCATTTTGGGCTGATACTTTTCTTCCAGAAGAAAAGAATATAATTATTAAATTTGTCAAGAGATGGTGCTTAACATTTAACTCTAGACCAAATAACTTGATATTTTATTATTAATAGTAGCATTAATATAGCCTGATATAATCTGTCAATCATTTGGCTATAATTATTTGCTGTTAAGATGGTTCTGATTATGAATATTGAAATAAACCATATATGTTAAAAGTATGCCGTTAAAATATGAATATAAATTAAAATAAAAAATATGCAAAAAAATACTTAAATGCATTGTTGATTTAAACTTTCAAGAAAATTGATAATTTTTCAAAATTGTATTTTTAAATAAAGATGATTGCTAAAGAAAGATGATAGACGTAATTGAACAGAAAATTTTATAAAGTGGCTATTTAATTTAATCACTTAAATTTTTAATTTTTTTAATACAACTACCTAACATGGAATTTATTTTTATATAACAGTCTCAAACATCTGAAGATAATCTGGATGGATCAGGTGCTGGTTCTTTACCTCCAGGTGTTGCTCCTCCTCCTCACGAAACTCTTGGTAATGAGTTTACTATTAGAAAGGAGGCTGATACAATTGGTAATTATCTTCCATATCAACAAGGACCGCCACCAGAATATTTAGACAGAGTAGCAGAAAAACGAAGACTAGAAGAGGTTTGTGTGAACTTTTATTTATTTTTAAATGAATGAGATTTATATATGTTTATATTTTTTTTCTTATTGCTTGAATAGTTCATGTTCAGATAGCTTTTATATAATCCAATGATAAACATATTGTATTTAAAACCTGAATATTTCACTTTTCTGATTTCTTCTTTTCTTCTATACTAATATTATAAAGAGGTAATGTTTGTATGTATGTATGTAAGTTTGTTTGCAGCAGGTAATCTCCGAAACTACTCATCCGATTTCAAAAATTCTTTCACCAGTATTTAGAATGGAACCTCAGGATGGACATAGGCTGTATATTATTCCGATAAACATTCATATAAATTAAAATATATAATCTAAGTTAAGGCTTTTATTTCCAACAGATGGCGCTACGAGTATGACGCCCTAAGTTTGCTTTTCTGTCAGGCATTACACTTTTTTGTGAAAATGAACTAAAGCAGATCATCTTCTATCTATCTATATAAATAAAAATGTAATGTTTGTTTGTTCTTACTGATTCCTTTGAAATTTTGACACAACACTGCATTTGAATGCGCATGTGTTTTTATATCATATATGTGTCGAAATTTCCTGCACTTGGGGGGGAGATGGACAGGATTAAGGCTTACAGTAAAGAACTCTGCTTCTATTTATACTATTTCAGATGCGGTTTTTTGCGTTTTTGATTGTATTTTAATAGGGTAAGTTAACAGAATGTATACTAAGAAGAAATTTTTCGAAAAATTCCCCCATGGGGGAAGTGTTATACATTTATAATATATACATTTTGAGCCACAACAACACGTGGCGGGGTCTGCTAGTGTTTAATAAAAGAGTAAAGAAAAATGACTAAATTTTTGCTTTATTTGACAATATGAACAATTTTATCTAGTGGTTTTTAGTTATATGCTCCACAGACCACTTAAAATGAGTCATAGATGACTTACAGCTCATCTTAGCTTCCTCTTTATTTCTTATCCTATAAAAATCATCTTAGATGCATGCCAAAATATTTTGCACATTGAGAAATCTAATGTAAATGATACATAAAAATATTATTTTCTCTGTCTAAACAGCTTATACTTGCATTGTAGAAAATGACTAGGTTGTTTTGCAGATCATCTAGTATATGCTCATTAATAGTCTCTTGTCTATTTTTACATTTATGATAAAATGATAAACAAGAAAATGAAATAAAAATATTTTCAAAGATCTGAAAATCATGAAAGTATCAACTATTCTTTATTATTTATCAGTTTATTTAATTTAACTTATTAAATAAATCTCATTTTTGATTATATTAAGTAACTACTGAAATGGCTATTAAAACTGTTTTACAATGTTTTTTAACCTTATAGCCTGATAAAGGAATCCAGCTCTTTGATATTTGAAGTCATTTTTGGGTTGGTTGTATTTAATACATCTATGTTTTACAATAACTGATTTAGCCCCTCTAAAATTAATATGTTGACTGTAGAATATTCTTCAATAAATAATCATTTTTATATTATATGTAAAATATTCAAAATTGAGAGTATTTTTTTCTTAGATTAAAATTACAGTTGATTAGTATTTTAAAAATGGGTTCTGACTATATTTCAAATATGGTAATCCCTTGTTGACTGCATTTTAGGAATAATGCAATTTCTACCAATAATCGAGTTAATAAAAATTGAAAAATTTTTACATCATTGTTAAATATTTTAAAGAATGTCATGTTCATCAATGCTATAAGTATCACTAATCATACTGCTAGCCTACCTTGATTTAATAGCCGCAAAATCCAAATTTGTTGCGGTACATTCCAGACATAGATAGTGCCAATGAACAACAAAAGACATCCCCAAGATATATTGACAAAACTTATCTGAAAGGTTAATTGTTAGCAGAATTAGCAGAGTTTACAATAGCTACTACATAAAAAACATGTTTTTTTATTATTTTGATAGTGTAATTAATAGGTATTCACACATAGGAAGCACACTGATCCAATACTAGGGTTTGGGAAGTCTCGACATTCTCAAAGTCCCGGGACACGAGACAACCCACGATCAAAATCCCGGGACTTCGAGACTTCTCAGAATAAAATTAGAATAGAGTTCATTTTTGGCAGATGTATCAATAAAAAAGCAATTTTAGTAAAAATCAACATTTATTGAACATAAAATCAAATCCTAACATTTATAACGTTAATTAAAGTCTAAACCAGTGTTTCTCAACGGGGACAATATCTCCCCCGTTGAGAAACATTGGGTGTTTTTCCACGTTGAGGGTCGATTAGTAACAATTTATATTTTGGGGGCGAAAAACAATTTTCTGGGCGATATAGTAAAACATTATATTAAGAATAATTAGATATTTTATTCGTTATATGGTACAATAATTAAACAAATGACATTATACTAGTCACTAGTCTATTCAATGCAATATGAATTTGGCATTAGCCTCAGCATCGGAATTTTGAAGTGAAGGGGGCAATACTACGTAACAGTTTTATTGAAGGAGACAATACTACGTTGAAGGGGGCGACAATTCGTTAGAGGTTGAGAAACACTGGTCTAAACAAATCTCATAAACAAACGTCACAAAATAACAATATGGCGGCGAACACATTTGTAAAGATTGTCTCTTAACAGAATAAGGTTAAAAGTCACACAGCCTTGTAAATTATTCCCACCTGCATTGTTTATTTGTAAACAGGAGGGAGAACAAAGAAAGCATCGCTTGGCTAACCTTTTGAAAATAAAATTATTACAATACAATTTCAATAAGTGTGTCTCGAGTCTTGACCCGAAAGTCCCGGGACTCGAGACAATTAAATTTAGAAAAAGTCCCGGGATGTCTCGTGTCTCGAAGTCCCGGGACCCGAACTCTATCCAATACGTTATCTACCCAATTTTACAGCAATTTTAAAACCATTATCAACTTCATGTTCTAAACAAAATTTTAAAAAATGGGATTCCTTTTACAGATTGAGTTAATGGGAGTAGACCTTACCAAATTTCATCAGAATTTATGTCTACAAAACTCTTCATGACATAATTAGCAACAAAATTAAAAAAATGAAAAATTAGGAAAAGTTACGACTATATTTTAAAATAAAATATAAAGCCTATTGTTTACATAAATTATATTTACCAAATATCCAATTTTGTAGTAAAATATTGTAGAAACAATGCACTGATAGTACACTAAACATGCAACGACAGACTGTAGCAAACGACTCCCTATCAGTTAATTTGCATAATTACACGCAAAACATCCAGCTACTATGTCATATCAAATATTTTGCATATTTATGCAAATCAAATTTTATGTCATGTTCAACAGATTTTCGTATTTCGTCACACTTTTTATCAGATAGCTCCATCTATTGAGAATACCAATTAACGCTCTGATTCGAGATTACTGGATGTGTCACCATCTTGGAACCTAAGGTAACATTAACCCAAGTTTCTTTTGTAACTTCCTTTTCAGTAACTTTATTCCATTTTTTCACTAATTCACTGAGTGATGGCCTTCAATTTTTTTTTTTTATTTCATGAAGGTTCTTTTGAACAGTCTTTGTTATGGTTGCTGGCTTTTCAGTTGATTTTCTGGATGAATTTTTACGAGTTTCCTGATATCCTGATATTTTGAAATAATACCCGTAGTGTGGAATTACCAATTTTTAATTCTTTTGCAATTTTTCTTAAGGATTTATCCTGTCTGTGGAGGATGATAATTACTTCATGTACAGTACATCAACACATACAGCCTTACTATGTACCATTTTCATTAAACATACACCTTTCATTTTCATACACCTTAATAATGTTAATAAGAAAAATATGCAAATATCACATGTCAGCTCATTTACACATTAGGGAATAAGTCATTTAATGTATTGTTTGAGGTATTATTTGTCAAAAATGACTCTGTTCAAGCTTTTTTGTCACACACGCTCTTTTCAACTGCTCCTAACTTCTTTTACGTATTATCAACATGAAAATTTTTTATGTAAAATCTTCAGTTATAATAAAAGTTTACTAATATAAAATAATTATAAGTGTACAAAATTTTTGTTTGATATTATTGAAAGATAAGCTAGAGATGGATTAAAATAACATGCTTTCCGAGGTTTTCTGTTGGAGTTGTAGAAGTATGAGGGATACCTGTAGTTAAAGATAGACTAATATTTTTCCTAGACACCGACCAATGCCGCTAGTCTAGCCTGATAGAATTCGACATTGTATACATTGTATATTGTATAGAATTCGACATTGTGAGCTTTAAAGTATATCGGGTTTAGTAATGTTTGTTTATGATATTTTTCCTTTGCAATAACAATTTATAAAGCCTGCACTTGAGTACAAGTCTCTCAGTCCCCAGACATTGGAAAGAAAGCATAAAGACAATCTTCATAACAATCATCAAAGATTCGTTTATTGAAATAAAGCTATTAATACTGAATGCTACTTAGAGATAGATTTGAAAGAAACTACGAAAGACAAATGAAATTCTTTTAGCTGTCTTTAAAGTGCAGTTTATCATGATGGTTGCCATGATTGTTGGGAGCTTGTATGGTGACCAAGAACAGGGTTAGAACAGGCTCTTTTTGCAATTTATTTTTGAACAAAGAAATACATAGCATGTTTCTTTATTAATAAAAAGCAGTTGTAAGGATTTAATTAATTTTAATAAAAATTACACTAATTTTTAGGGTTCCTAAACTTTCTTTGGGCCTGGTGAAAAATTCCTAGATCCTCTGACCTTGGTCACCCTGTTGGTCACTAGGTATTTAGAATTTGAGATATTTTGATCTGCATTCCAAGAAAAACTGAAGAACTGCTTCAACAATGATATAGTGATCTGTAAGATGATCTTGAACTTGTTTGAAATGAAGATGATAAGGCAATAAAAGAAGACAAAGTTGAAATTGAAAAGCATTTAACACCTGTCATAAATAGGAGAATGCAAATAACCTTATTAACCATTTTATAAACATTGATTCAGTTACTGAATATAGTTTGAATCTTAAACAGGCTTGAAAACATTGTAGATGCCCTATAAAGAAATTCAAAGACACTTAAAAAGAAAATTGAGTCAGCCATGGCTTTTTAATAAAAGTTCTGATGTTTTTCAACCAGTATGAAAGAGTTTGTAAGATTTTATTATTTCTTAGTTTACAAATTCTTTGTTGTTGTTATATTGTGTGTGTTTAATGTTATGGTTATCTTCTCCTAACATCTTATTGACTGTAAAGTTGTGTTTTTTTCTGCTATGGTTTTACAATGTCATTTTTTTCTAATGTTACCACTGCAGTTGGCAAGGGAATCTACAGATATAGTATTGATGGTAAAAATTCTAAAATAATAACTGATTAAATTTCGTTTCTTTCTATGTGAATTTAAGTATTTTAATTAAAATCGAATAATTAATTTTTAGGCAGAAGATTTGGATGTTAACTCTGCTATTCATGGAAATTGGACTCTTGAAAATGCCAAATCTAAACTTCATCAGTTCTTCCAAGTTAATAAAATCAGTGCAGAATACAAATATAGTCAAGTTGGACCAGATCATAACAGGTTTTGTTTTTAAGAATATACATATAAAAAATAATTATTTAAAATATTTTGAAAAATTAAACAGTAATGCTTTTAATTTTATTTAATAATTTTTATACTTAAAGTTTATTTTAATAAATATAACTTTTAAAAATTATTTTTCAAAAATGAACTTAATAAAAGCATAAATGTAAAACATCTATTTAACTAAAATATTTTAATCAAATAGATTTTAATATTAATTTTGAAAGTTTTTTATGCAATTAGGATTTAATAAAATTAAATAGAAAAAGAAGCTTTTTATAACTTTTTATAAAAACAGACACTTATAGAAGTCTAATTTTCGAAAGTTAATAATAATTTCAAATTATGCAAAAATGCAATTTCACAGTAAAAATTTTATCTATTTTATATTAATATGATTGTTTTTAATTTTTCAATACTTAGAAAAATAATAAATGTACCGGTAATCTAATAACATATTCTGAATTCAACTGTGTTTCATCTTTATATAAATTTTAAAAAATGTTTTTATATATTGATGAGACTGAGGTTAATAATAGTTTATAATAATTACCATTGAGTGTTTAGATTGGTTTATTTTAACCCCTTAACGCCAGATCATTAATTTAATTGATACTTGATTAATATTAAAATACATTAAAAATACTTAAAACTGAAAAAACACGAAAGAAATGCTTAATTTTGAAGAAAAAGCTTTAAATTTTATTTTCCTTTGTTTAGCCTGTCTGTGAAATGTAACACCGATGAGTCATTGTTTACACAGCTGGGTGACCTTGAACACAGCTGGAGTCCGATTTCCCGGGACATTCTCATAGACGTCTCGGGAGGACAAGGGTTTAAAGTAGGGTGACTATAAGCGACACAGAAATTTTTAAATATTTTTAAAAAATTCAAAATTTTATTGCGATNGTCAAGTCATCTGCAGTTTCAATTATTGTAAAAACATTTCAAAAGAACAAGAAACATTTGTTATAGAACATTAGGTTGAAACAGCATTCTACATGATTTTAAATCTTAGTTCCTTTTGGTATATAATATAGAACCATACTTTAAAACCATATCTTCATTATAGTTTAAACATATAATATTTATATTTTGAATTTTACAAACAGTATATTTGTTATCTTATTATTAATTATAGAGCTGAATTACATTAACTGATGCTTATTATGAAAATGTTTTAAATTTCATACACCATCTATTCTGTTTGTATTTGTATACAAACAGAATAGATGGTGTATGAGATTTGAAACAGAAATAGCTAGTTTTTCTAGGTT